AGGAGAAGGGATTGCGGTGTGACCATCCCCCCTGGGGGGTGATTTCTCGCTTTCTGTCTCTATGTCTCTCTCTGTCTGTCTGGCGAGCGCACGCGCCCTACAGTGAAAATCTCTCCAAAAAAAAAAAAAAATATTCCAGTCTAAAACAGCTGTCGAGCTTCAGTAGCTCCTGCAAACTGTTACTGACTTTGGCTGTGGGCTGAGGAGCCCACAGCCTGACTGGCCCCATGGATTCATGGGAGTTTCCAACTGTATCTCATGCCTCCTGGCAAGTTTTTGTTTTTTAAATGAAAAACCTGTGAGTTATTTGACAGCTTCATTTACTTAGATCATATGAATTGCTTATTTATACAGCTGGTTTAAATTCGGGAAATTGATGCTCAAAACCTAATTTCGAATTGCCTGGTTTCAAATCGCTACTTAATTGGCTCGATCGCCACCCGCTGTCAGGTGTGGAGTCAATCAGCTACCTCAGGGGACAGGGCAGTATCTTCAGGAAGGGTACCATATCTTCACTGTCATGGTCTCAGGCTTGAGTCTCCTTGATTCAAATCCACGTTGCTATTTTTAGCGAAGGTCTAAGAAGCCCCTGTGCTCTGGCAGGTCTTTTCCCTGGAACCTGAACAACCTCTAGTTTTAACACAATGGTTAGAGAAACATCTGTGACCCAATTCTCAGTCTCCTTTCATATGTTCTAAACGTAGAGATATGTACCATCTACCAAGTTTTATAAAGGATACATGGGATTATTATTATTATTTTTTGGAGAGGTTTTTGCTCTAGGGCGCGTGTGCTCGCCAGAAAGACAGAAACAGAGAGACAGAAAGTGAGAAATCACCCCCCAGGGGGGTTGGCCATGCCACAATCCCTTCTCCTCCATCCTCCTCTTGGGATCTGGGGCCCACACGCACACACCCCTGCCGTGAGTTTAAGCCACAGGGTCCGGGACGTGAACCGCGGTCAACTACATGGGAGTCCAGCAACATAGCCATTATGCCAACTGCTGGTCCCAGGATAAGTGTTTTTCCTTATACTCACTTGTTCAGATGGGTGTTTGACTACTAGGTAGTGACAGTGCACAAAACACACCAAATAACAGAGGTCAGTAGGAAATAATAAGCCTGGGCTATTTTTTTTTGGGGGGGGGAAGGTTTTCGCTATAGGGCGCGTGCGCTCACCAGACAGACAGAGACGTAGAGACAGAAAGCGAGAAATCACCCCCCCAGGGGCGATGGTCACGCCACAATCCCTTCTCCTCCATCCTCCTCTCGGGATCTTGGGCACGCACGCACACGCGCCCAGCGTGAGTTTTAAGCCACCAGGTCCAGGATGTGAACCGTGGTCGACTACATGGGAGTCCAGCGACATAGCCGTTACGCTAACTGCTGGTTCCCAGCCTGGGCTATTTTTCATAGAATACAACGATTTCCCAATTATAAGGCTAATTATGTAAAGACCATTTCTTTTACTATTCAGTGTAGAGAATCTAAGGTCAAGGTGCATATTCCACAGAGGCTTCTCAAGGTTTGCAAGGGGTTCAGTGATGGCGTTCATTAACTAGACTACCAAATACTGTTAGTGACCGATCACACAGATGGCCACAGTGCTCTGGCCTTTCTCCCACTGAGAAATAAGGTCTGTCCTCGCTCATGGAATGAGTCGGTTGAGAGCACCACGCTGTGCAGACCCCTTAACGACGTTGACCAATGGGATATTACAGAAGCGACACCGTGCAAGTTCGTCTGCTGGGTTCCTACTTCCCGTCACCGGGCGTGTGTACTCTGGGGAGGCCTGCTGCCATTTCAGTCGTTTGCCTTCTGGAATTGCCATGCTAGGAAAAAGCCCAGGGTATCCACGTGGAAAGAGATGCTCATACAGCCGCCACCAGTGTAGCCGGCTTGTCTTGAGCACCAGGCCTGTAAGTGAGAAAAACATCCCCACAACTCCACTCTTAGCATCTATCTGACTGCACCTGCGTAAGAGACACCCACTGAGAGCTACACAGCTGTGCTCACAGAACAATTTTTAAAAATATATATCTATTTACAAAAACAAATAATGAGTTGCGGCCTAAGCCACCATGCATCAGAGTCGTTTTTAAGCAGTGGTAGTAGCTGGGGTAAGACCTGGCGTTGGCTGAGCACTTTGCTTTGTTCCTGGGTCACGTGTGTCAACTCACTTGGATACCAGGAACATTCTTCACAAGTTATAATCAATCATGTATAAAAACAGACAGCAAGGCATTGTGATGACACACGTATAACCACTTACACTCCAACAGCGAAAAACATTATTGAAATAAATTATTATCGTACTTGACTGATGAAATAAGCAGTAGTGAGATTAAACAATGTGCCTAACTCCACAAACTGGTAGATGGTCTTATGAACCTAGAGTGAGCCCAGCACTCTGTTAACCTAGCTCTTGATAGTGAGAGATTATATTGTCGTCTTCCATGTTCAGATTGTAATCTCCAAATTATAGAATTGTGTGTGCGTGTGTGTGCATGCGAGTAAGCAAGCATACTTTCAGCTACCTTACATCAGATGGCAAGGTGTACATAAACGATGAAGACCCTATAACTACTCATTATGAAAGTAAAATCAATGCTGTCCATACAAAAATGTCACCTAATACGAAATCAAATAGCTATCGATCAGAAACGTTCCCGATGGAATGCAGAATAGCTGATAAATACGTCGTGTGCATGCGCCTCACTGCTGTGGTTCGACTTGCTTCCACACACAAAAGAGAAAAGCAAAGACATACTGAATAAAAATCTCTCACGTAAGATCTTCCATCTATCCACTGTTCTCAGTAGAGATCATGTAGTCCTAACAGAAACAGTGAAGGATTAAAAAGTAAAATACAATAAAAATCAGAGATAGCCTTCTCCTGAAGGGTTTATAGCCAGGAGCAGTTAAAAATACCCAAAGAGGAAAGCAAACTCATGCAAGGGATACAACAAATGACTTTAAAAATTAAAAATGTTAATTTTGTTTCCGGCTCACCTTATCTCCTCGGGATGTTCCTGCCCTTTATCCTTATTTCCGCAGTTTCATTTCTATCTTACATTTGTTTGCATAATAATATAATGATCTGTTTATTGTCTAGGGAGGACATTGTTTACCAGCCTGGCCTGAGATAAGAGAGATGGCTGATTCTGTTTGATATTTCTGTCCATGAAGTCCACAACTCAATAAAAGTAGCTACATTAGCAACAGTAACCTGTGTCCTCAGCATAACAACTCAGAAACAGAACAAGAATAAGCTTAAGTGTACATCCAATTACGGTCACTGAAAGACTCATGCTTCCCCTACCTGATCTTACTTCATTTTCTGTGGCCTGAAGTTAACTCGTAATTACACTAAAACATTAGCTAGAAATGGAGAAATGGGGGAACCAGCAGTCAGTGTAATGGCTATGTTGCTGGACTCCCACGTAGTTGACCGTGGTTCGCGTCCCGGACCCGGTGGCTTAGAACTCACGCTGGGCACGTGTGCGTGCGTGCCCAAGATCCCGAGAGGAGAATGGGGAAGGGATTGTGGCGTGACCACCCTGAGGGGTGATTTCTCGCTTTCTGTCTCTATGTCTCTCTCTTCGCTTTTGGCGAGCGCACGCGCCCTATAGCGAAAACCTCTCCAAAAAAAAAAAAAAAGAAAGAAAGAAATGGAGAAATGGCATCCCTGATTTGTGTAGCTTTCATTCCATTCTCCTCTGAGACAACCTGAAGAAGCCATTGTTGAACTTCTTTCACCATATCACTTACTGTTGTTGCTATGGGGTCGTGGAAGAGACCTGATGCACTTTCGCACAGAAAAACGTAGAAACATACGTCATGACTGTTCTGACAGCCCATCTTTCTAACTCTCTTACCTCCGTGATTCCATACTGTTCTTGCTCTCACTAGATGAAGAAGTTTTGCGCTGGTTAGCATGCCACCAACAATGCACTTCTATATTCGTACTAAAATAAAGTTTTCATGGAACAACAATTTTAAATCAGTGTTCTACTTCTGAAACCATTGGAACCAATTTTGCCTGATAATTATTTGTCACAACATTTATTTAAAAGCAATTTGTACTGTCTGCATAAGGAGTGTTTCCTGCGTCAAAGCGTGATTCTTATTAAAGGATCACAAATGTATTGGTGCACTTAAATGACAAATGGAAATTCATAGGGAGTATAAAAAGAAGAGAAGAGGGTTGATATGGCTATGAAATGGCAATTGAAAACCAGTGACGTCATATTACTTCTCAAAAATATACAATCATACAACAGTTTCAAAATCTGTATACTTGAATCCTTCTTTACTTACTCTGAAGTAAATGTCAGAATTATTATAGAGCTATTGTAACACATTTTGTCTAGAGCATTAAAAATTGTTTTAGTCATAGTACTCCATCGTAAGTTGGAACTGTGAAGTAACTTGTTTTGCCTATTTCTTTAAAATTATTGAATATTATAGTATCAAAAAATGTACAAAGAGAATGGAAGCTATTGTTAGCTTGTTGTCATAGGTCAGTTATAATGCTAAAAATATCAAGATTGTATTGATGAAATATGCAGAGTAGTATTAGTGAGACTAGTTGTTTAAAATAACTTCTTTAAATGGAACCCACTGCTAAAACACGCTAGTAATGAATGAGAAATTTGGGGTTTGAATTTTTTGAAGGCACTCTTCTTCTTTAGCAATCAACCAAACCTAAAATTCAAATTACCAATAAACTTAACCTAGTAACTGCCAAATACCATGCGAGAATACTCATTTTATCCTTAGGCAAATGGGTATATTGATATTAACCTTGGTAAATTTTCGAGATATAACTGAGAACTCATGATCCAGGACGAAAGCCTACTCACCCTTTATCCAGATAGAGTTCACAAATAAAACAGTGTACAAAAAAGGGAAAAGGGAATGTAAGAAAACACCATGAAGTTGACAACTAGGAAGAGTCGGAGACTCCCAGTGAGTAGGGCTGTTAGTGCTATGACTTACAGGAAGTTGCCGGCAAGACCGCAGCAGGACAAAGGCAAGCCAGGCCAAGTTCCAGCTTCACGAGGCACCGTGGTGCACTCCAGCAGGATGTGCTCGGAGAGCTTCACTTCGTCTTGGATGAGAGATCATAGACCTATGCTCCAGCAGGATGTGCTCGGAGAGCCTCACTTCGTCTTGGATGAGAGATCATAGACCTATGCTCCAGCAGGATGTGCTCAGAGAACTTCACTTCGTCTTGGATGACTAGATCATACACCAGGTGGAGGAAAAGGAAAGTGACATTAGCACTGGGAAGGAATGCATATTTTATCCCAGAGATGATGGAGAACCATCAAGAAGCTCTTGCTTAGAGACTCTCGGGCAAGTGTGAAATTACCCAAAGTAAGCATCAGAAATATTCTGACATCAGCATGTAGAGTAGGTGGGTCTGGAGAAAGATCGAGAAGCCAGTAATCAGGCCACACTTGAGCAGCAACGCGAGCAGTAATTGCCCAGTGCAAAATGAATTACATAGCACTCAGCCTCTATGATGAATGGCAGAATTTCAGATCTGCTCTGCGAGGGCTGTACTGAATAATTCAGTTAGCCCAGTCTCTAAAGGGCATTGTCAGTGCTATGGTTTATTCTTGGAGTGGCCAGAAGGTACGCTTGTATCCACCATGCAGTCTTCTCCAAAGTAAAGAACAGTAGCTTTTCCCCCTACATGTACTTTTTCACTAAAAGAAACAATAGTCTTTCTTACGAGTTAAGAAGATGTTATTCTCATTTATAGAAAAGTATTATATATTAGACGATGTCGTGGTTAGAAAATTATGCATTTGAATATGCACAAAAAGATGCCTTCATCTCTTTCATTCTGCGTGCAGGAGAGGGGGGGATTTTTTTTCCTCCACTCTCAATGGCACTGGTAAGAACACCATAGACTGAGGGAAGGGGTTTGTCACCACACTATGTTATAGTTAAATCAAGAGGGGAATGGGCCAAATGCAGGAAACAAAAGAAATGGAAGTGCTGTCAGAATGTTAGAATAATGGGATGGTTGAGCTCGATCCCTTTTTTAAGAGTACACATGTATTAATCTGTTTAGTTTTCAACTGCTAAATGTACAAAGGGCATCTTGACAATGATATTATTATACAAGCAGACATATGGACCTTACTTAGTAAGTGATACTACTGATTAGAGCATTAGATACAGATTCCTGAACCCCTTTGCCTAGAATGCAGACTTGATGAATGTTACATTGCAGAATTTTCGAAGGCAAACAATCCGAACCAAGGTTAAATGGATGACATTATTTTACATTCTCCAGAGTAAGATGGAGAATTCACATGATGAAGATGTATTTGACATCAGCAAAACACACTAGACTATAATGGCAAGAATTTCATATACTTTTCTTGTGAGAGAGATTAGTTTGTAGAATTTAGAGAGGTTAATAATGCAGACTAGGTAACATTTGTAAACAAGTTCACAATAACTGAACCACTCCAGGGTTTATTTTCATAACCAAGGAATCAGTACTGAGCTTGTGGTTCCAATTAGTCAGGAAGGACATTGACCTTGGATTATTATACTTCTCTAAAAGAGCCCTGTAAAACTTGTTCATAGGAGAGTGTACCAAATGAAACCAGTACAACTAAAGTTAATGATTTAATCCAGCTCGATAAGTCATATCTCTGAATCTTCTATTCACTTACTTTTCCTAATTCTCTGTTGTTGTTGTGTTCGTGGATGATTTTGTTTGACTTTGACTTCCAATTTCTACATTAGCCTTACTTCTCCACTATCAACAACTGGAAGTAAGAGGGAGGTTCTTCTGGATGAACATTCAGTTCATTGGGAAACATGGTCTGGTGATTTTTAATTAAAATTAAAAATATATACATAGTGGAACCAGCAGGTGTGATGGTTAAAGGCACTGGATTCCCATATGACTGACTACAGTTCAAGTCCTGGATCTGGTGGCTTGCTTTTTTGCCTTCTCTTTTTATCTGTCTCTGTCTGGTCAGATTAAAAAATAGTAACAACAAACGGGATTAAATAAATAAATAATTCTTTTTAAAAATATATACATAGCAGGACCAGCAGTTGGCATAATGGTTATGTTACTGAATTCCCATGTAGTCGACCGCAGTTCGAGTCCCGGACCCGGTGGCTTAAACACACCAGGTACGTGTGCCTGCATGCCCAAGATCCTGAGAGGAGAATAGAGGAGGAGGGATTGTGGCATGGTCATCCTCCCAGGGGGGTGATTTCTCGCTTTCTGCCTCTCTGTCTCTGTCTTTCTGGTGAGAGCACCTGCCCTATAACAAAAACCTCTCCAAAAAAAAGTTGAAAAATATACATAGTATAAATCTCTACATTATAAAGGAACTGTACATTATACATATTAACATTTTAGTAGAAATTCTCTCATTACAGTAGGAAGTCATATTTAACTGACAAAATACAATACAGACGGTGGGAACTTACCTGATTAATATGGCATGTCATAAATCAGCTCACAGTTGGTAGGTCCAAGATGGAGAGGTGACATCTGGTAAGGGGCTCCCTGTTGGTGTGGCCCTGAGGTCACGTGGGCACGTGACAAAACACGAGCGCATGTCTCTGTGTGCTTCTCTGTCTCTGTCCTTACAGACCTTCCAGGAGTTAATCATACAGGGACCACCCCGATGGCTCCCAAAGGCCCCACCTTCAATACTAGGACAGTCTTGCGTTTCACCATGAGATAGTAATTTTCCTCTGAGTATCTTTACAACCAAATCTCAACACATAAATTCCAGGCAGAGAGGGTTCTCAAACCATAGCAATTAGCATGTGTTCATATAGGAACCTGTGGGTGTGTATGTGTGAGTGAGTGGGGGGGAGGTTAGACAATTGGTGATCAACTTTTTTCCTCTTAGGTGTGCTCAGCTTTGAAACGTATAATCCAGAGCCTGAAGTTTTCTTCAGAAAACAGTTGTTTTGTAACATTATTTTCAGAGTATGTCATGGTGCACCATAAAATGTAGAAGAGTAAATAAATGGCACCAAAATTTTTATTAAAACAGTCCTAGTGTTCCAAGTGCTTCATATCAACAAATTAATTACAGCCTATATTCTAGGCTAAATACTAAAAAGCATATTCTCATTTTTATTAACATTTTAGTCCATTCATTTTCTCAGAAATTTACTTCCAAATTAGGATTAAGTCATAGATAGATTGCTATACTTTATTAATGTTGACCCTTTCCATTGGGTTGAACTCATCAGAAAAAAAATACATGTAATACACACACACATAAGTGCCTGTGTGTGCGCATGTGTTTGTATACACATTTGATACCCCACTAGTGAATCAAAACCATGTAGTTAAAATGTTTTGAATATGTCCCACCAGATACCAGGGTCCTATAACTTTGCTTCATCTATGTCACCTACAAAGAATTTCCCTAACTGTTGAAATTTGGCAGGACGATCTACATGGTGGTGTTGGTCCTACAGGGAATTAGAGGAAGTGAAAACTAAGAACTAGTTAAAGATCAGATCAGACATTATGCTATAACCAATTGAAAGAAAGGACATTTATACTCAGGAAAAAAATAGCAATTAAGCCAAAAACCTATTCCAAAGATAATTATGTTTATTGTTTTCAATTTAAATAGAAAAAATACATTAGAGGGATACAATGTTATATATTTTATTGATTCCAGAGTTTCACTCCAACACGTTTATCTTAAAATATAAGTATCTGTGATTAAATTTTATAGAAATTTAAATCCTTAGCATTTTTAAAGATATACTTTCCAGTGAGAAATTGAGACCTGAATTATTCCACAATGCTATGCTCTGGTATAAATTCTGTTTTAAAAAGCAAAGGACGTTCATTACCATGTATAATAAGTTTAGCTTTGAATATCAAGGAAAGTTTGCTAAAAGAGAGAGCATTTTAAAAACCATTCCCTAGTAGGTTATTTTAAAATACTAAATCAATATTAGATAATATCTTTTTCCAAATAAATTTGCAAAACAAAAATCACAATGACTGTGTACCTCGCTATAGTATGCCAGGAGTCCTGTTCTTGAACAGAGTGAAATCTCCAGGTTCGGGCGGTCAGGTGTGACTGCTAAAAGCTCAGGAAACAAGGCGGTTCATAGGAAAACCGTATCCCCATGAAATCGACGCACCCACACCTCTCACTAAGCCATTAAAAATCTCTCTTCACATTGGCTATTCTGCTTGAGCAAGAATAATTAAACTAAGAGGATTAAAAATTCTAGGTTTTGTGATATGATGAAATATACACTATTGTTTTTCTTTACTTCCATACAAAAGAATGTTTTCAACTATACAACTAAAGAACTTAAAATTTTGGGGAGGAAGGAGAAGAAGATAAACTTTTATATTCTTTGGTTTTTATAACCATCCAGTTGAAAAACCAAAGAAAGCCTTTATTTCTTCTTGAGTTCTCAACATTTTCAGTATCATTGTAATGACTTGGGGATTTCCTTCATTAAAGATAAACCAGTAAAAAAAAAACAAAAAAAAATTGCTATAGGGTGTGTACATTCATCAAAGAGACAGAGACACACAAAGTGAGAACTCACTGACCCCCACCCCAGGGGGATGGCCACACTGCAATCCCTTCTCCTCCATTATTCCCTAGGGACTTTGAGCATGCACACACAAGTGCCTGGTGTGAGTCTCAAGACACCGTATTCAGGACTCAAACCATGGTTGACCACACCTTAACCACTATGCCACCTGCTGGCCCCAAGCCAGTTTAAAAAAAAAAAATTAAACTACTTCAAACTATGGGCCTTCATTGTCTCATTGTATACATAATGTCTTTGGGTGAAAACTGACTTCTTATTCTATTTGCAGTAGAACTTCCTTAAAGTCATGACATCTAACCTTATCAGCCAACAACAGTCTGTCTGTCTCTTGGAAAATGAAAGCTCTCTGACTTACTGCACACTTGAACTAGGAGACAATACACGTAACAGTGAAATGACAAGCCAACACGCCGCACGGCATGTGCAACGTCTGCGAGGTGGAATACAGGCTGCAATTTATGAATAAGACTGAGAACGAATATGTGAGAGGTGTACTGCAAGAATACACATTTTCTTTTCAGATTTTCTGTTATTTCCAAGTAATCATTCATATAAATACCCATTGAAACATATAGTTTGCATCTTGATTTGCCTTTCAAAATAATAACATATGGGCCCAGCAAGTGGCGTGGAGGTTCAGGTGTCAGATCCCACCTGATCCCTACAGCTTAAAAATCACACTGTACATGTGTGCATGCATGCCCAAAATACTGAGAGGAGAATGAAGGAGAAGGAGTCGCAGTGTGGCTATCCTCCCAGGGGGTGCTTTCTCACTTTCCCTCTCTCTCTTTCCTCTGTCTCTGTCTGGCAAGTACACGTGCCCTAGAGCAAAAACTAAAAGTAAATAAATATGTGATCAGTAAGATGGTAAGATCTTATATTGCCAACAATATAATTTCGTTTCATATATTTGCCAGACTTTTTAAGTGAATACTATACTAATAAAAACAAGACCTGTTGCAAAATATTACATGAAAGAAATGATGTAAATGTATACTGAAAAAAATCCCACTTGTACTTCACGTTAGGATATTAATACATTATGTAAAGTACAAGGAAAACTTTCATCAGTATAAATCCCTTCATCTCTTTGTTTTACACAGTATTGTGCTGACTTCACTTACGTATACCCTCTGACCTCTGACCTCTCACGCACATGCGCACACATGCACGGAACCTCAGTGCATTTCAGGGAGAGATTTCTAAAGGAGGTCATACAGCACAACAGCTTTACATAGAATAAGTAGAAGTGATGAAAATGTATGTCTCTGAAACTAGATGAATCATCTATGGTAGAAAAATAGTAGAAAAGTATAATTAGTTTTCAACTTCAGGGTTTAGTATGGAATATACTTATGCCACATTCCTTGCTTAACATGACCAACTCTGGCATAGTCTGAATTACCCAGTGATCTCTCAAGTATATTTTTACTGTTTTTTAAGGGAAAGTGAAACAGAGCTTTCTACCGTGAGCTGTATCCATCACCCAGATGTCAACAGTACCGGGAGAATATGGTTCCCAGGCAGGAGATAAAACAGATCTGGGGAGATGGGCTTGAGAGCTGAATTGAAATAGCTTCTGTGGGCTGGTCTGACTCACCTTCCCACCACTTCCCACACTCTAGCTCGGTAAAGAGCTGAGTCTGTTCAGTGATTAATAGAAAGAAACCAGCCCAGGAGATAGACACAGGAGGTGAAACACACGGAAATCTACATGAAGTTCTTATCAAATACATCTTTGTAACCTACAAAACACGTAGACATGATGTCATCAGCAGAGAGGGTGATGAGCTTGAAGAACAGCAATAATGTTTCCATGAAGTAATGATAAAAGCAGAGAGATGGAAAATGAAGTGGCAGAGACCCAAAATGCAATGATAAAAATTAGATAAAGTCATTCTAAAGTTGAAGATTACATTAGGAAATACAAAATAGGATCAACACAACTGAACACTCACGGGTTACAGTTGACAACGGCTAACAAAAAATTTCAAGATACAAAAGGGATTATAGAAAACAGATAGCTAAGGAGACAAAAAATTTAATGTAATTAGGATTCCTGAAGAAAAAATATTCAGATGTATAATAGGACCAAAACAATGCTAATGTAAAGATTGAAATCTGTGATTAAAACACTCAGACTCCCTAAAATTTTCTACTTTGCATCAACACTAATTTTCAACACTTCCTTCAGTTTCACCCTACTAGTTTTATATTAAATGGAATGATTTTTATTATTTTAGTGTTTGACATGCTTGGCTCCTACATTTATAAAATTTTGTCTTTTATTCAAGCAACATATCCTATACAAATATGTCTATGAAAAGGTATGTACTAAATGTTACCCGTTTCTGGGCGGTGAGATTTCAAGATGGCTTTAAAATCTCTAAAGTCCTTATCTTTATTTTTAACTGCCATTTATCATTTTTAAAAATGAAAATGAGGTCATTTGGGCTCTAAAAGAAGTAGAAGGCAGCAACTGAAATAAGAAATGACAAATCTCAACTGTCCCACTACCTCTAGATCCATGGCCCTCAGTTCATGTCCACACAGCAGTCAGGTGATTTCTCTAAAACGGAAGCATAAGCATGTTAGTTTTCATCTTATTGTTCTGCATGGCTTTCAGTAAATTGCCACTAAACTGTATGAAATCCAATCTCTTTAGTAATTTTCACAAAACTCCCTAATCCAGTACCACCAGGCCTTCCAACATCAACAACTCTCACTCCCCCGAATCCTGCCTTCCCTCCAACCACCATAAACTCTGTGAAGTAATGGTTTCTCTTGATCTTCCAAAATTCCATCTTTTCTCATGCTTCAGGTGCTAATACAAAAATATGCTTTTTTGTTTGTTTTTTGTTTATGGGAGTAGGGTGGGGCTGGGAAAAGATGGAAAATTATTCCATGAAATTTAGTTCAAATCATCTCTGTAAAGCCTTCTCTGCCATCCCTCATTTTTCTTCCCTATCAACAAAGTTATAAGTTACTGTGTCCTTTTCCCACCGAATGTATCAGTGTCTTGCCAAGCAATATTGACATCTGAGGCAAAAGGAAACCTTGTTAACTCTGAGCCTATGTTTATTTAATCAATTATCATGGATTTTTTTTTTGCATTAGTTTTATTTTATTTTTCTTCTAATATTGATTGGACCAGCCAGTGGTATGCTGTCCCACATGACCAACTACATAGTGTGAGGCCTGGGCCTGCTGGCTTGAAAAACACCCGATCCAGTGCATGTGTGCGTATGAGCCCAAAATCCCACGAGAAGAATGGAGGACGGAAGGTATTCTGATGCGGCCATCTTTCCAGGGGGGTGCTTGCTCACTTCCTCTCTCCCCTCCGTCTCTCCCTGATGAGTGCACACACCCTAAAGCAATTTTTTTTTTAATTAAAAAATACATATTTTAGTTAGGCCAGCTTATGGCCTAGTGGTTAAGGGAGTCAGACCCCGCATGGTTGAATGAGCAGTAAAGTCATGAACCCAGAGCCTTGAGTAGCATTTCAGGTTCATGCCCAAGACCCCAGGAGCATGTAGGACAGAAGAAGGGGTGACTGCATGACTGTGCCCCTAGGAGGGTGCTTTCTCCTTCTCCCCTTTCCTCTGTCTCTGGTGAGCACACATGGCCTCTGGCAAATTAAAAAGATATGCTGATTTAAAATACTACCTATCTTGATTACCGAGGGTTTTGGCACCGCCATACATGTTGGTGTCAAAGCAGGCCTTCCTGCGCACTGACACACCTGTCCCACGGCCTAATTATTTGTCTCCGTATCTGTTGTCATGCCCAGGCTGTGCTCACTGACAGGGAAAGGGGCCAGTTCTGTTTATCTTTGCACATCCACAAGTCAGCACAGTACCCCACACTGGGCAGGAGTCCACTTAGTAAGAATCAATACAGAACCAGAAAAGAGAAATAACATAAATAAATAAATAAATAAATAAATAAAAACTTATTCTAAATGAGTTTTTTTCTAAAACATTTTTTTTTAAAAAAATAAGGAAGTCTTACTTGAGGCAATTCATGAGCGTACAGTAATTAAGCAGTTCCCATAAACACCTATCTGAGGCACAAAGCTTTGAATGTGTACCTAAGAACTACAGGATATTAAAATTGAAAAAAAATCTGAAATAATATTTCATCTGCCTCCTTTCTGTTATAAGTAATGATTCCTTGCAGGGCCAGCAGGTGGCATGGTGATTGAGGGCACTGGACTCCCATATGGTTGACAGTGGTTCGAGTCCTGGACCTGGTGGCTTCCTTTCTTTCTCTCTCTCTGTCTGTCCCTCTCTGGTCAAATTTAAATAAATAAATAAATAAATAAATAAAGTCCAATAAAATAATTCTTTAAATAATAATAATAATGCTTCCTAGGGAAGTGAAGTGGCTCTTAGAAGTGAAGACCCTGACATAGTGAGCTGAACCCCCACCGTGTTCTTTTTCCCCAGAGATTATTCACAAATCTAATTAGAACAGAGGTAGAGAGCTAAGATTTTTTTCTAGGCCTGGCAGAATTTACCAATTCATTGGTAAAATAAGCCATAAACACATTTTTATGTAATGCTTCAAATATGGCCACTGCTAAGGTGAAGAGACTGAAATCACGTTTGAAATTTCCTCCCGGCCCCACACTTCTGTTTATCACTAACTTCTCTGTGACTTATTTTATCTGCAAAAGAGGGCGATTCTGCTCTCCACCTACTTTACTTCAAGACCTGTGAGGGCCAGGTTAAAATGCACATTATTCCAAGTATGTATATGCACAAATGAAGTCACTTTTTAATTGCAGATTAATCGTGTAAATAAACTTTTCTACTAGTCATGTCTGGAGCAAACCGGAAGTAGTTATGTAGCAGTTAGTGGCCAGCTTGGAACTGAAAGTTGGAATACAGATACTGGTACTTAATAAAAACCATTCTGAATTTTAACTTTAAAGCATAGAAATCTGGGGGACCAGCAGTTAGCGTAATGGCTATGTCGCTGGACTCCCATGTAGTCAACTGCGGGTCACGTCCCCGACCCGGTGGC